GGGAAAGCACCTGAACAGTTACGAAACAGCGATTAAAATCACACGACCAAAGTCCACAGCATAGTGTTGTCTTTATAGCTTCTGATATCATACCCTTTTGTCATTACGACCAATAAAGAGAAGATAACGTTAAAAGTTGGGTGAAGTCCAGTGATGGGTTTCCTGCTGAATGGTATAAGAAATCTGGAAAAGAACTGATATCCTTACTCCACCTGACTTTTAGTTAGAGTCACACTAAACATGCGATTCCCTCTCTTGGAGGGAGGCAATTATCACAGTACTACCAAAACCACAAACACAAAAGGAATACTGCCAGAATTACAGGCCTATATATGTGTTAAATGTTGAATATAAAATCTACACTGCAGTCTTATCAAATAGGCTCCAGTCATTTATACCAGACCTGATAGATGAGGACCAAGCAGGTTTTGTCAAAAATAGACCAGCACAAAATATTAGAAGGACCCTACACATTATACACCAAATAAATAAAGACAATATACTGGCTGCGTTGATAAGCTTTGACAAAGAAAAAGCCTTTGATCGAGAGAGAGAAAGGAGGAATGTCACTTCCTAATTTAAAAGAATATTTTCATGCTGCACAGATACGCCAGATAACATATTGGTGTAGTGATGATTATGGGGCTCGCTGGAAGGATGTGGAGCTCTCCACACTCCATGTCCCAATTCAAACAAACATAGGTATACAAAAGACCCCCGAATACATAACTAAAGACCAAGATAGGAACCCGATAATATCCTTTAAATTAAATAAATTTATTAAAAAAATAAATAAAATAAAAAAAATCACTGAAAGAACGTGGAAAGAACATAAAAACAACTCAATCATTAAAGTGGAGAGAATTCATTTGGAAAAAAACTAATTTGCTATTTTATTACACCTAAGATTAAAAATAAACGAACCAATACACAACAGTGATGGAAGCTGTGCAGATGGATGGAACCAGATCATACACACATTTTCTAGAAATGTAGAAAAATTCTCACTTTCTGGGTCAAAATTCACTCAGCTCTCTGTGATATATTAGATTATATAATTCCCAGAGCTTGCCTTGTTTTGTATCTTGGATACTTTGAAGGTGCTGTACATGTAAAGGACCGCTACTTGGCTAAAAGTCTCCTTTCTGCAGCAAAGAAGGCCATCACCAAAAACTGGCTTAAGACAGAGGCACCAGGAAAGAAGCAGCGGGTAGCAATGGTGGAGGGCATAAATAAAATAAAAAGCAAAAAGAAAAAAGTTGGGTGAAGTGCAGCAGCTCAGGACTCAGAGGAGGAGGATTAAGTGACAGACACATCAGTGGGATTATGTGACAGTCACTGCAAAGAAAGGGAGGGATACTTCACTGTAGCTAACTGCAGGGACACCATTGACAGGCTTGCAGTTTAACTGAGCATCTGTTAACCACTGTTTTTGTTTTCTTTTGTTTTAAAAAGGTCCTTTTTCTATTAAAACTGCTTCAATACAAATATAGACAACTCAGTAAGATCCATTTGCAATGATGTGATAATCAACCATGTGTTGCTGTTAAGGTTAGGTATAGGGCAAGGTTTTGCTTACACCTGTTAGTTGTAGTTCAATCAAAAAAAAAAAGCAAAATAATTTAAGTATGTTTACCAGAATGAGTTCAAACAAGGTGCCTTGGTCCACTTTGAGGAACTCCTGATCCCATACAGGGATGTCATCTGTCCTTTTCTCCTTGTTCTCATCGTCCTCAGGAGGAGGGGGGTCATCTTTGTGATGAGTGCACCACTGAATCACCTGAAAAAGAAAGACAGACAATAACAAATAAACACGTGGTTTTAACCAAGGTAACCCATTATGCACAGCACCCATCAGCTGTTTAAACTGCCCATAAAAGGTTTGAATACCAAAATTAAATGGCAATTCTTTGCCACAAATTAGGATCAATTCACACAGATTCCAGGTCGTTACCTCCTTGTAAGAAAGTGTAGGAATGAGAGTAGTAAGGAGAAAGAAAAAAAAAAAAAAAAAAATCAGAACTTCTGTTGCCAAAAATGTGATTAGATGATTTGCTGGCATGAAAATAAAAAGGTAAAACTGAGGATGAGAAACAATTGCATTTTGTCCATTTTTCCAGGTCCACCTCAAAACTTTGATGTTCAGATTTTGTTGAAACTCTGAACCACATCTGAGCCCATTACTCTCAGAAAATACATCAGCAGCTCTTTCCAGCTATAACACTGTCCAGCTATAACACAAGTTTCCTAGATTATTACAATGTGCTTCTAAGATGTGTTTTGATTGACTGGCACAGAAGATCATTTCAGCTTATTCTTTCAGCTTTAGCCCGGCAGTGCTAAAATGTTAAAACTATAAGGGGAAGGCAACCAAACCCAATTCAAATTCTTAGGCGAGCTTACCCGCAGGACACAAAGTACCACTCTTTGCCACTTACGAGCTCTGCTTAGACCAGGGGTGGGCAATCTCAGTCCACGAGGGCCAGTGTCCCTGCAGGTTTTAGATCTCACCTTGGGTCAACACACCTGAATCACATGATTAGTTCGTTACCAGGCCTCTGGAGAACTTCAGGACATGTTGAGGAGCTAATTTAGCCATTTAAATCAGCTGTGTTGGTTCGAGGACACATCTAAAACCTGCAGGGACACCGGCCCTCGTGGACTGAGATTTCCCACCCCTGGCTTAGACCCTCTCACCATATACAAAAGTCTACATCATCTCCGAGGACACCATCACAGGCTAGAAGCTAGCGCTTTCATTTACATTTACCTCCCAACTACAACCACGAGCAAAGCCCAAAATTTCAAGGCACACAGATTCTATGACCTCTTCTTCCAAATTCTTTTTTAGATTAGCAAATGATTATATGGCCAAACAATTTCTGCCAAGCCTGACCACCTAAAGTCATGAGAGGTAGCTTTAACACTGCTTTTTTTCCAGACATTTATTCATTTTAAATCTGTGGACCAGTGTTTACTTGCTTTACCAAAGAAAGTCATTCACTCCGCCTCTCAAATTTTCATCTTCCTTCTTATCAATCGGAACCTTTGTGTCAAGCCACACAACAGGCTGGGGTTCCACCTTAAACTTTGGTAAATATAATTTGCCTATGTATGGGAAATTAGTGTGTACCAAGTAGGTCTGCTGATAAAGTAAATAAGCAGCTCATTCATCACTTGTTCATATTATAATAAACTAAGGTTGTAAGAAAACTCCAAGGCATTTGCCTCACAACATACAGCATTTGGGAAGCATGGATCTAAAAGATAACCTTCTCCAGAGCAGGCGAGATGAACGCCATTAGTTAATAGCATCTCAGGAAGCAAGGAATCAACCCCTCCCACATCCAACAAAACACCACCCACACAGTCTGTGTGTGAACAAAAACCCATTGAACACTTCAATATGTGCATTCTGTACCTTCTTGAGGATGGCAGCATTCACGTTAGGAAGGGGAACTGGATCATCATCTCCTTCATCATCCATTCCCAAATCTGTCAAAGATTCAAACATTACACATTTGTAGCCTATGTCCATATTATGGTTTAATTAAGTGAAGTATAAACCTTATATTTGTGAACTGCGGGGTGTCCTATTTATGGCAGTTGTGACTTGATAACCAAAACGTTTACCGCGATTCAACACTTACCTTCAAGCATGGTCTTAATGGTGACAGACTGTTTGGCTATCTCAACGTCCACCTCGAAGATTTCCCCATCAGAACTCTGTAGTTTTATTGTGGGCATTATCTATAAGGCAACACGTTAAGATATTAAAAGCCTGTGCAAGGAGACAACACTTCTGAAAACAAACTTACGAACCTTAGTAGTAAACACGCATTAGCAACTGCTATTCTACGTCTGGGAGTTAATTTGTCAGCTATTGCAAGAAAGATCGTTTACATGATTATTAGTCGAATACGGTAATAATATCCCAGTATATAAATAACTAAAAATTACCTGTGCGGACCTCAGTATTAGAAAAATAAACTCAAAAACAAACGTTAAAGCTTACCTCAAGCTAACCTACGATTAGCTACCGACGACACGGGCTAAACAGCGGCAATGCTAGTCAAGCAGCTACCTTTTATTTGAATACAGTTTATAGACAACTGAAGCTAGTGCGTGTTATTACTTAAAACACATAAAAGTTGGCTTCGCTGCTTTTTGCTCAACCATAATATTTTCATATTATCGGTTAAAATTTAGGCTAACCAGGAAGCTAGCGTTACCATGCACAATGTTATAGCTAAGCTAACGCCTAATGTCGACGTTAGTTGAGGCCTCTTAGCAGCCACAGCGAGGCTCTTCAAATAAAGACACAAGCAAAATTAAACAAAGAGCAGTTCATCCCAAGCTGCAAAACTCAACCTGGGCTAACTAAGCTACGTACCGTGACTGTTTTAACGCTAATCCAGAGGTCAATTTCCTCTGTAGTCAGCAGCAGCACCCGACAGACGCGCAAACACAGACAACCGGTGGTAGTCCCTGGACCAACCTAAGAGCCCCAGCCTACCTTCCGGCGACTAATACGCCTTTTTTCCTCGTAGGGGAGGGGTTAAGTATGGGCTCAAATTATCCACCCTTCTTTGACTGGTAATCTCAGGGTCCTTCTGCCTTTGATATTGTGAAATATCCCAAGTCTCTTAAATTATTCCAAGATATATGTATAAGTATAATGTGATAGGCATGTTAGGTTTGCATACTTTTCCCCGTATATTAGCATAGAACAGGATAGCCCTTTATTGTCATTGTACGTGTACAACGAAATCGTGGGCGCTCCACACCAACTGTGGCGGACAACAAGAATAAAAAGCAAACAGAAGAAATACATACAGCCAAGAGGGAATGTATACAAAACAATATACAATATACAAAACAACTCACACATTAGAGAGCTAGTGTTTGTTGACAGTCCGAAAGACCCAGGTGAAGAAGCTGTTTGTGAGTCTGGAAGTGTGGCCTCCACTGATCTCAGGCACCGATCAGAGGCCAGAAGGTCAAACAGGTGGTGAGCGGGGTGCAAGGGGTCACCTGTCTTGGTTTTCCTTAGACAGGATGAGCTTGTGATGGTACCCAGGGGTGGAAGAGGGCAGCCAATTATATTTTGGGTGGTGTTAATTACCCTCTGGGCAGCCTGTTCTCAGTTGTGGCCTCTGCCTACCCAGGCAGTAGGAGAGCACGCTCTCCACTGAGGAGCAGTAGAAAGCCAGCAGCAGCTTCTACTCCAGGTTATCCTGGCTAAGGACAAGGAGGAAGTGCAGCCACTGCTGGGCCTTCCTTACCAGGATGTTGGTGTTGTGGCTGTAGGTGAGATCAGCAGAGATGTGGGTGCCCAGAAACCCAAAGATGAAGACAGATTCAACCTGTTCTCCATTTATAATGAGAGGGTAGTGGACTTGTCTGTGCCTCCTGAAGTCCATTATGAGTTCTTTTTTTTTTAGGACTTTCAGCTTCAGGTTATTTCCTGACCACCAGTAGGACAAGTGGTGGTCTCAAACTGAGCAAAGAAGGTGTTGAGCTCCTCTGCAAGTTTGAGGCTGCTGTTAAGGGTTGGAGGACTCTGGCCATGTAGTTGGCGAGGGCTTGGATGCCTCACCACACTTGGTGGGGGTTGTTAAAGCGTACATTGGCCCACTTTAATGCTGTCCTACCTTTTCTAGACTGTTTTTTACTAAGACAGTCTAGCAAAGTCTCAAACATTTGAGATGTTTAACATTGCTGTGTAATTATAATCTTTTTCTTCTGGTCGTTCCCTTTAACAATCTGCTGAGCATCATCTCAATCATCACCCCAGTATCCTGTCCTGTCAGAAAAACCCTGTGTTTTTCTTCCTTGTCTGTGGTCTTGCTCTTTTGCTGCTGCCTGGGAGCTCCCTATTCATCATGCTTTGTCCTGTATATCAACTCTGTCTTCTCTGCACATGTCCAAAAAAATGCTATCTTAAATATAAAGATATTCACGAATTTAAGATTCACTTGGGATAGATTATATTAAATAAGCCTTGTTTCATACAGTAATTTCCAAAATTAAAACCCTGCGTGTGTTGTTTATCAAACCGCAGCGTTTATTGTAGTATTTAGAGCTACCATTGGATGGCGCTTTTCCCCTATTACGGATCCTCTCAAGCGGTTTCCATGGTGCGTTCAAGTGTTCATTGAAAGCCATCCTTGAATTGATGCCACTTAATTTCAAAATAGTAAGTCATCACAGCACTTTAGCTGCAGTAGGACACACACAAAAATGCACAGTGGGTGTTATGACAGCTAAAAACTTTAATTTAAAAATAAAAAGTCAGATACAGTCAAAATTTTAATAAATTGTGATGTATTAGTTCTATAAGCATCCAAGTTCATAAAAGATCACTTATCTTTGGGGATATTAATTCTTCTTTATAGACAACAGGTTGTATACCAGAATGAGAAGGGCAAGCTTGGTTTCCTCAAAAATCAATGGATGCAGCAAAATAATGAAGATTGCAATGATCATTGCACTGCAAAGATCACTGAGATGTAGTGACTGCTGTTCCCTGTACTGTGGTTGGCTGGGGGAGCAGCAGCTTTAGAGCTGAGATACCAACTGAGTAAATTAACTGCCTGGCAAGGCTAGGTCTGTGATTAGCAGCAAACTGGACACTTTTGAAGCACTGGTGGAGAGCAAACCATCATGGAGGATCCTGACCACCTTCTCTAACAGACTGTTTCAGCTCTGCTGAGACAAGGACAGCCATCGGAAGTCTTAGCCACATGCTATCACCTTCTATAAAACAGTGATATCTGGCTGAGAGGCATCTGCCAGATTTTATTATTGGCTTTGCATCATCACTTAAATTGCTATAATAAAAAATAATTCACCAAATATGAGATAAAGTACTTATCATCATAAGTAAAACACTTCTAAATAGCATTCCTAAGAGATAAAAGATAAAAAAAAAAACTAAAAAAAAACAAAACTGGGTGCTCACGTTCATACTTGAAATTCATCAGTGGGAAAAATGCAAAATTGTGGTAAATTTTGGCATCAATGTAAATTGAAATTTAATCCCAGGACAATGCAAGGACAGTGTAATTCAAACCATAACACTGTTTTATATGAGGACAAACAAACAAACAAAAACACAAGAGCATATTCACATCAAGAAGCCACCTTCGTCTTTATTAATAAAATTGTTTGGTTAATACAGATGCTGTAGCTCAGAGGGAGTCAGTGAGCTGAAGTGGATGAACACTCAATGTAATCTTAAACACCAAGCTGTGTGACTGCAAAAAACAAAACAAAACAAAGCAAAAAAAATTTATTAATTAAAAAAACAAGAACAAGAAACCTTGTGTAGAGCTTGGGTTGGGAAGAAAAAAAAAGGAAAAAACAAACAAACATCTGTAGTGTGAAATCTTTTCCATATTTTGACATATGTTACATTTCTTTTCATTTACAAAAGTGCAAACAGATCACGTTCAGATCTACTCAATATAAGCCATGGCGCGTGGGACTCAAACAGCCGCATTCAGAGTAGCAAAATTTATGTCTTGGACCTCGGTGCCATCAGTCCAGCTACACAGTAACAGGAAAGGGAATTTAAACATTTCTGTTTTGTTTTTTTTCCATATAATGGGAAGATTTGCAATACAAGTCCTCGGCAATGGATATTGTTATGATTATGGCACACACTTTTTGGTCCATCCTCAGACACGGACATTGTTTTTTGCTAAATGCTTAAATAGTTGTTTTTTTCGTGTGTGTTGATATACAATGTGTACCGGTGTGCCTCCTGCACCACCCCAAGTCTTTCACCCTCCCAGTTCATGTTGTCATCAGTTGAAAGTCATACTGTACAAATGTCAAAGGGCGATCAGAGTTTACAGGAAGTAGTCTGGGGTGCGGCGAGTGACGTGGGGCTCCCCTCTGCGAGGCGCTGGATCAAACTGCAAGCTGGGTAGAAGGAGTAGAAAGAATAAATACGATTTGTTAACCACTATGTGTTTTATATATAATTACAGCCAAAGCTACCAGAATGCATCGTGCCTTAGATTTTACAGGGTTTAAAATAAAACCTAAAGGATTTAAGACTTTTCGGTACTTACAAAGAGTATTTTAGGGTGTCGTCTAGTTCCATGATTGCCGCCTGGTTGCCGCAGCGGTAGCAGTAGTTGGGAGCGCTAAATATTGTCACCACGTTCCTCTCGTGGCACCAGTTGTAACCCTGAGGGAGGCAGATGCATTATTCACTGGAAATGTATAATTCAGAATAAACTGCAACTCTAATGCAAATCTAAAACTGAACTCGCCCTTGAACTCTGTATGACTGGTCGATGGTGATATAACCATTTTTGTTCCGTTGTTCTCTGTAGCAGCCAGGCTTTCAACTCCATTTTTTTGTACGGTTAGTGCACTTCCAAAGGTTGGAGGAGCTATTTATCGTAACGGCTCTTTGTTTCAGTTAAATTCATATTAGCGTGCTGACTGCCGGTTGGAAGAGCCGTCTTTCCTGAGCTTATTCACCCTCAGCAGCAGATGGATTATTTGTATGCACATCAAATGAGCCAGTGACATACCTCCATAACCAGCTGGTGGGCACGGGACACCAATGTGAGGCGGTTGGCGTGGTTGAAAGTCTCCGAAATGTCCTGACCGAATGTGTAGCCGGCTCCTCGCGGAGAGATGCCCCAGCCACCGCGGTCATCCGGGTCCGACCACAGCAGGTCACACATGGGACCCTACAGGAGACAAGGAGGAGGAAACAAATTGGTTTATGGGCTGGATGGACTTAAACAGCCACTCTTTTTAGCTCAATTTAGCTTTCAAATATTATAGATGTATTTAAAAGGTCATTGTTACCTCATGTGGCACTTCCTGTAAACGGTCCAATGCCCTAATGTGATCCAGTGTATCTATGGATGGTGACAGGCCTCCATGAAGGCAGAAAATCTAGAGGGAGAGGAAGGAAAACATGAATCTAATTAATATTTCCTCTACTAATGTTTGATTCTTTCAGAACATTACGCTTACATATGTGAAACCGAGTTTATATTCTTACCTGAGAGTCTACCAAGGCAGTGAGGGGGAGGTAATCGAACAGGTCTGTGAAGTACTTCCAAACATTGGCGTTGCCATATTTCCGTAGACACTCATCATAGAAGCCATACACTTGCGTGATCTGTCTGCTCTCGTGATTCCCTCTGAGGATTGTGATGCGCTCCTGGAAGCGTACCTGAGGAAGAAAAAAAGAAAAAAAAAAAAAGATCTGAATGTTATTTTTTAATTCTTATTCAAATAAATAAATGAATACATTTCAGGTTTAGACAAAGTCAAATGTCAGAACATATCACTTACCTTTAGCGCTACTAGTAAAGTGACGGTTTCTACAGAGTAGTACCCTCTGTCCACGTAATCTCCCATGAACAAGTAATTTGTGTCTGGAGACTTCCCTCCGATCTTGAACAACTCCATGAGGTCATGAAACTGGCCGTGCACGTCTCCGCACACAGTCACCGGACATCTCACCTCTTGAACGTTTGACTCCTTTGTCAGGATCTCCTTTGCCTGGTT